AAAATCTTTATAAACTCTCCCACCTGATTGAAACACGTGAAGAACACGTGATCTATATTGAAGAATTATAAAACCAATGAAAATGGTAACAATATATAAGTTTTATTAATGTTTTGTAAAATAAAAATTATTTTCAAATTAGCAATCTTTTTGAAATTATTTCAATTTTGAAATAATTCTAATTTTATTCTAAATTCTACATTTTAAAAGATTTTGCTTTTTTAAAAAGTTTTATTACTTATTTTCAATAAGTAAATTATATTAAATCATTATCATAAACAAATTTAATTAATAATTGTAAGAAAAAATTTATTTCTAAACCTAATAATTTTTGTGAAACTGTTTGAACCATTTGGAACTGGTTAACAATCCTAATTTTACCAAAAAAGAAGAGAAAGTCAGTTTTATAAATAATCTATAATGGTATTATACGTATATGTTCATTCTCTAAATATTTGTTAAATAAGATATAACAATTTGTTTATTAAAATAAATTAAAATTATTAGTATAAATGACTGAACCAAGTGAATTTAATTGAAAAGGGTTATTGAACTTATGAAATTTTGTTAGTTCAATAAAAATGACTGGTAACATTGAAATCCCGAAAATTCTGGTTTGGATAAAATTTGAAAAATTGGATTTTGGCCAGCATTAAGAAATTAAGCTATAATTCAAATCAAAATACGTGACTAATGAACAACTTGACATATAATATTGCAAAAACCAATTAAATCAATTGAACAATGTGAATCAATCACAAAAAATTTATCGCAAACTGTTTTTCGTCATATTGGATAAAAATCTCATACTTAATGATGAAAAAGCGAGAGTAAATTCAAAAATTACATTACATTACAAAAGATTATATGTTTGATATAAATACTTATGTTGTAGGAATGCAAGCTGCAACATGCATAATCTACACGTGTATAAAATACTACGATGATCCTCGTGAATTTTCATCGTTTGATCCATTTGAGTTTCCTGCATTGCCACCACCTGGCATATTACCAGCGAATTGACGAGCTCTATTACAGACGAAATTTTTTAGATAGTTAATTATTTTAAATAAGGCAAAATTGAATTACATACAGATTTACTAGATCAGGGTTATTCATCATTTCATCCATGTTTGGAGCTCCTCCACGCATCATATTGCCTGCCCTTTTAATGTACAAAGATAGCTAGATTAATTTAATATCAGCAATATTAACATCAAATAAAATTCATGATTCGCTTACATTTCAGCGAGATTTGGATTATTCAACAAATCATTAAAAGCACCAGACTGCATCATCTGACTCGCCATATTCATTAATTGAGGATTATTCATCAAAGTAGAAAAATCGAGACCTCCACCACCACGACCAGCTAATCCTGCAAGTCCAGCCGGTAATCCACCTGGTAAACCACTTGGTAAACCACCACCACCACCAGGAGGAGCTGCACGTGTACCATCTGTAGATGAACCACCACCACCTTGTGTAGATGGATCAGATTTTATCTCACCGACTTTTTGTTCAGCAGCGCCAAGCGCTGATTTTAGAATGGGATTATTTGGATCAAGTGAAAGCCCCTTTTCATAGGCATCTACAGCCTCTTGATATTTTCCTATACAATAATAGGCGTGTCTTTTATTGTTTGGAAATTTTATGAGATGTAAGCAAATTCACAATTGAATAGGAAAATCAATATCGGAATGTCGGGACTTACCCAAGTCTGCTGTAAGCTTTACTGTAAGAGGGATCAACTTGTGTGGATTTTGTGGCGTCTTCGATCGCTTTCTCGTGTTGTCCCATTTGACTGTATGCAGCAGCTCTGGATTTAATTTAAATTAAAAAGTATTATTGTTTAAGAGGGGTATTCATTCATATGCGGAATCTTCAAATAAAAAAGATACCTGTTGGCATAGTAAACTGCATTATTACTATCTATCAATATTGCTTCACTATAAATTTTCACTGCTTCATCGTAATTTTTTTCGTTTACTTTTTTATTTCCTATTTATTTTGATGAATAAGTATTTTGACGTGTTTCTTAATAAAAAAAGTTTTAGCAGAAAAACTAACCGGCTATTTTTAATTCTTCAGCTTTTTGCTTTTGCCCTAGAGTTAATTCTACAGGCTATAGAAAATAAAAAAATGAAAATACAGCATCAACAAAAAATTAAAATCTTTAAAAGATGTAAAATTATTTTAATTAATAAATTACCTTTGTCTCTACTATTATGATGATAAAATAAAATCCACGTGTTATCATATTAAATATTAAATAATTATCAATGACATGAATATTTCTTACCAGGTACTTGTTGAGGTGCTGTCGTTCTCGGTGAGGATGTATTAGCCTAATAAGGAAAAAAAATGCAAATTCCCTAGTAATTCCGGAATTTTAAAAAAACTAAATACAAATACTAACCTTTGCTGAAAGCTTTTCCTCAGCCTGCATAGCCATGTTAAAAATAAGCGGTAAACTATGTTTGGTTGAGTATAAAGCTATTTGTTCTGGATCTTGAGGGTTAACTCCAAATGCTTCTCCAATGCATTGCACTATTTTTCATTTATTTAAAGGTGAATTTTAAACATAAAAACGAAATACTTTTTATAACACTCTCAAGTAACACTCACCGGCCACATCAATTCCTTCAACATCGTCTGACTTTATTGTGCCATCTTTAATTGAAGTTTCCAGAAACTGTATTATAGAGAAAACGAGACGTTTCTTTTTGTCTGCCATGGTGCGAGTATAGAATCTATTCGAGCTCGAAATAGTGTCGTTTATTCGGATCACGTCACGTTATGCATATTCAGAAATAATAATTCGTTTTCTTCGAGTTGTGTATAATGGAAAACTCTGAAGAAATTCCTACTCTGGTTGACATTGAACTTTTTGATAGTACACTAACTAGCAATAGTGAAGAATTGTATGCTTTCTTTAATGTCTGGCAGTTGTTTATTTACTATTTGACCAAGATTTCAAGAGTTAAATTAAATGTCTTGCTTTCTTGACGCATTCTACGTTTTAAGAAGAGAACAAACACTAACAACTGTAAAAGAGAATATTTCTTCTGTTTACGGCGGCAAGGTTCCTGTTACCATAGTAACTGGTATATATCTTTTTTTTGTCTTCAATTACTTACGTGATAACAATTTCGTTGAGTAATAGTGCTATCCTGTAGGTTTTTTGGGGTCTGGCAAGACGACTTTACTCAGTTACATCCTTGCAGAACAACATGGAAAACGAATTGCCGTGATTTTAAATGAATTTGGAGAAAGCAAGTATCTAATTTACTTATGCATTATATAATCTCTTCTAATATATTTATAAAACAAAATATAAGGTAGTGGAATTGATAAAACTCTATCAGTTGGAATTGATGGTGATATATTTGAAGAATGGTTAGAGCTGCGTAATGGGTGTCTATGTTGCTCGATTAAGTATTTATCACTAATAAATACTATTCGATCTCTATTTGTTAGTATTCAATGAATGTTTATTTTTTTTGTTAGGGATGTTGGAGTAAAAGCGATCGAGAGTTTAATGGAGAAAAAAGGAAAATTTGATTATATCTTGTTGGAGACTACTGGGCTTGCTGATCCAGGTACGATGAGAATATATTTACGGAATGAGATAAGTGAATCTGTATAAATTAAATATGTAAAAATTGGTCAATTCTTTTTTACATGCAACCCAGGCCCTATCGTATCAATGTTTTGGCTTGATGATGAATTAGGCAGTGACATTTATCTCGACGGAATCGTTACAATAGTAGATGCAAAGTATATTGAAAAGTATATTCTCGAAAACAAATCCAAAGGATCTATAAATGAAGCTGTAAGGTTTGTTGTTAAAATTATATATAAAGTTTATTAGTCTTAGTCACTTCATTAACTTTTTTTCTTTTAAAATTTTAGACAAATTGCCATGGCTGATAGGATAATCATCAATAAGACTGATTTGGTTTCCAATAATGAGCTTAAAGTTGTTGAGAAGAGAATAAAGTAAGAGATATCATCATTCCTATTATTCTAAATTTGATACATAAAGTTGTTTGTCCGCTTAGTATTATTTATGTCACCAGCTAATGGTCTATTTAGATCGATAAATGCAGCTGCAGAACTTTTGCGAACAGAGCGATCAAGGTACAGTAACAGCAAATGATATTTTATGAATAAATAAATTAACAAGATATTTTTTAATTGGACAGAGTTCCAATAGATTTCATATTGGATATACACGCTTTCGATGCTAAGGTTAATCCACTTACAGAGATTACTGATAAAGGCGTTCCAGATATACATCAACATCTTGATGGGGTAATCTTGAATTATTTCAATCTAGATATTTCTTTTTCTATCATCTACGACTTAACATACATAATTTCATCCGTTCTATAAGGATGTGCAAACGATGTGCATAGAGTTTCCCGTAAAAGCTCTCGATATTTTAAAATTTGAAAGATGGGTACAAAGTTTGTTATGGGAGAAAACCATTCCATTGTTGGCCTCTCAGAATCCCGAGTCTCTGGATCCTGCTATCACTAGTATTTCTACTATCAATACAAATTCTACTTCGGAATCGGAAATATCAATTTTACGTCTTAAGGGTATTCTAACGCCCAGTGATAAAGAGCTACCTCGTGTTATTATACAAGGAGTTCAAGAATTGTATGAGTTGCATTACACAAGTAAGACAAACGGGGTTGATCAGGTTGAAGATGAGGTACAGGATAAGTTAATTATTATTGGCAGAAATATAGACTTTGAAAGAATAAAGAGATCATTGTGGGATTGGATGGGTTGGCTTTTTGATAATAAATTCAATCATTGTTAAACATTCTAATGCCTGAAATCTTCCGTTTCTTATAAAAGACCGAGATTTTTCAATGAAAAAATTCAAATAAACTTTTGCTTTGAATGGTTGAAAGATGTATCAATCATCATTTTTTATTATTTACATCAAATCAATTATTGACATAGATATGAATTAAACAAGTACATACATATATATTTTTGTATATACGTGTGGTGTTTATAAAATCGAGACTAACTAAAAAAAAAAACAAAATTTCAAGAATCATAAAATGAAATAATTTTTAAATAACTTGACATACTACTAAAAATATAGATGTTAGATAAGTAAAGTGGGCGCGCAATGTGAAGCGAGCCGGCACAATGTTAATTAGGTGAAAAAAGTGTATATAATAAAACGCGTAAGCAAGACGTGAACAACAATAAAAAAATAACGTACAAAATAATGACTATAAAATAACAATAGTAATATGTATGATAATAATAATCATCTAATAAATAAGAGAGGAGGGAGTGTCTTGTAATAAAAATTCTATCTATTTCGATGTATATTTTATATCTTGTTAATCAATCGTTGATGGGCTTCACTCAATTGCTGTTCTAATTGACGCACTCTTGCATCTTTCTCAGCATTTTTCTCTTCCAATCCCTTCTTTTCACTCTCTAATACTGCAACACGTGTTTGTAATTCGGAATTTTCATGTTTTAATTCAGCGACGTCTCTCTCGAGTCCTTCCATTTTCTCGACTTTACGTTGTCGACTTCTACGTGCAGCGTCAGTATTTTTTGCACGCTTTAATACCAATTCATCAGCAATGGCATTTGGATCTTTTTCAACATCGTTGTGTACTCTCTTTCGATTATTACGAGAGATATTGTCGTTATTAGGTATAGGATTGGTGTTATTGATTTTGTTATTAAACGTTGGACTAGTGACCACATGAAGATCCATGTCGTCAGCAGATTGTTCGTGTGTTATCACGTGAGCTGTGGGTGTAATTATTACAGGTTCGGAGGAGTTTGCTGTCGTAATAGGTGTTCGAGTGGATGTATTATGAGTATGTTGATTATTTGAGGAGCCACGACGATTTGATCGACGATTTGAATGAAGGGATCGGACCATTGGGCGAGTTCGAGCAGCAGCAGAAGTTTTAACATTCAAGATCGCAGATACAAGAGCTGAGGCAGTTTCATCGAGAGCAGGATTAATAGCATTGAGACCATCCCATGGTATATTAAGAGCAGAAGCCATGGTTGACATTGGAGAAGATAGCTGAGGCGTTGATTTAATGGTTGTTGATGTTGAGGTGTTGTTATTATTTGTATCAGGAATAGACGCGGGTATATTAAGAGCCGCAGTAGTTGAGGGCATTTTAATTAAAGGATGGTGATGGTGGTGAGGATGATGATTCAAATTTCCTCCGTCTACAAATTCATTGAATGCAAGATCTGAGAAAGTAAGTTCCGGGAAATAATCCATAACAGAATCGATAATTGGACTGGCGGAAAATGAATCGCAAGTAGAACCGAATAAAGGAGAATCGATCAAATCAAGTGGCGTATCCATACCATCAAAGCCAAGATTCGCACTAGGTGTTGTTAGTGTTGATGACGTGATAGGTGACAGATTATCACTTGATGTGGATAAATCATCACCCGCTGTTGCCGTCGTGTTTGCCGTTTGGAAATATGAGAATTTATCCTCATCACCTTCAGAGATGAAACCCGCGAGATCATTTGCAAGCCATTCATCAAACACGGTGGTCAGATCACTATGATTGACAATGGATGCGGCAGCAGCAGCAGCTGTGGCTGCTACTTCGTCCAACGTATCGTTAAAGTAATTTGGCATCATTATTGAAGATGAGGAGTGAGATGGAGATTGTGATTCTGATGAAGTCATTTTGGTCGGTGCCGTTAATTCTGTTTTTGATAATGTGCTATTATCACCACTCTTACTATTGCCGTTATTGTCTTTACTATCGGATTCAAATGAGTTTATTGGCAGCTCAATATTTTGCGTATTTTCAAAATTATGTTTATTATTACGACTAATATTATTGTTGTTTTTGTTAATGGTTGGTTCAACCATAATTTTTTATAATGTGTGTAAAAAGAGAAGTAAACTTGTAGTTAAGTGTTTGGTGTTAGTGTTATTAGTGCAGGGATTTTAATGATTATAGGAGAAATAGAAAAATAGATAATAAATGAATTTGATGAAAAAGTTCGTAACAAATTTTTTTTATTTTTAGAAATACTTAATTATAGGATAGAGAAAAATGATTTCGTTGTTGTTAGTAACAGTATAGAATTCGAGAGTAAAATTTCAGCGAAAAGATATTATTTTTCGCGTATGATGTCGAGTCTTTGGTATATCATTTTGATGAGTGGGGTAAGTATGTATAGCGGCCATTGCGGCGGCAAGAAAAAAAAATATAGTTAGAGTGGGGAGGAATTGGTTAAAAAACCAGTAAAATTTTTTTTCGCGAATACTAAAAAAGTAAAATAGAAAAAAAATCAAAGCTATAAGCTTTGAGAGAAATTTAAAGGGTGATGAAAGCCATACTGGAAATTGAATAAAGGTGTGTTTTAAAAAAAAAATTAACAAAAATAATAAGTGTATGATAACCGTTTAGCGGTATAGATGAATATTCGCTTCGCCGAGTTTCTTTAGAAAGTAAAAGTTGCGTGACTAACTGACTTACTGACTTTAAACTCTGATAGCACAAACTGCGAAAATGTTATTACAGCAATTGATATGGGCGGAAAAAACGGAAAAAGAAAAATTTTTGCTTTCTTGTATTTGGATTATTGGCCGTCGAAAATGAGAATCGACACACGTGATTAATACAAGCGTTTTTTCTATCTGGACGTTCTTTAAAACGTCGTCGCTCATTACTGTTACAGGATATAAATCGGTAAGTGTTAGCTTTAGTTTTTTTAGAGTGCAAACTTGCCGGAAATGGGAAATCTCGGAATAAGCCAATTTCAAGTCGGTGAAGTTATGATGCAAGTAACGTAAATAACAATTATTAATTGTGCATGATACTTTCTTTGTCCGTAAAACGTGTATTGTACGACATTAAACCTAAAATAAATTAATTAACAATGAATTTTTACTATTGTTAGTATCTCGAGTATAATAGGTTCATCACCAATCACTATATGTAGACAATTAACCTAGATTAGGTGCAAAATGGCTTTCATTCTTGAATAAAAATTCAGTTATATATATATTTAAAAGCTTTGTTATATGATTGTTTGATTGGTAATGATGAAATGAATTTTATGTCTAAATATAATAATAATAATTAATACGGGGACAAAAAATCTAATTTTTAATCAATTTTCTACTAAGAAAATATGCCGTCCTTTTTAAGCTATAGCAACAAATAAGAAAGTAGTGTTTCGTTTTTCGTTAAATTGGGATTTAAATACATAAAATTCTACAACAGCGGTGTATGTATATGTTTGTATATATAAAATTTAGAGAATGATGAATGATCGAAAATTACTGAAATAAAAAAAAAATCTAACGGGTGTGATGGATGAATGAATGAACGATTAATAATCTAGAAAATATAAAAGAATTTATCAATTTCTTTTGTTCGATCTCTATTTTTCTCTAAATCAGTTTTCATCAAATACATAGGAATAGAAAAAAAACGATATACTTACAAACTTAAACTATGTATAGTATGTTGTTGTATATCATTCTATTATTGTTGAACATTACGAGTAATATTCTCGTAATTATCACTGTTACGTTTGAGAATATCGACAACAGGTCCTAACAAACGAACAAAAGCTTTTTTGTTTAATGTTGCGACCTTTAGTCTACCTTTTGCTCGAATATTTACCGCGCGAGGTTTATTAGTAAGAAGGGCGAGTTCTATATACATATAGAGTATTAGAGAAAAAAAAACCACAATCACAATTCCTCAATCATATGTATTAATACATATACATAATTCCATACCTCCAAAATAGTCGCCTTTCCTCAATCCAGGTAATTCAAATTCTGTACCATCTTCATCGAACTTTGAAACCCTGGCTTCGCCAGATTCGATGAGATAGAAACTATTACCGATGTCTCCTTGTTTAATCACCAGTTCATCATCCTCAAAGTATAAAGATTCTAAGGCATCGGCAATTTTATGACGTTCATACGGTTCCAAAGAGACCAAGAGGGTAACTTCCTCCAAAAATGATTCATACATTCTACGTTTACGTGAAGTATTTTCCATCAAAATACTTCTAAACGTTACTCTATCAAGTGCCCAAAGCACAGAATCTGATGTGGCAACTACAGTTGCTGCACGTGGTGCATTATACATTAATGCTAATTCTCCAAAACTGCCACCTGGACCATAATCCATAACCCGTTCCGGCGGAGCACCGTTCTTTGATACATAGACGTTGAATGAACCGGTCTCCACAACATAAAAATAATCACCGATACCACCTTGTCTAATAATTTCTTCTCCTTTTGAAACTCTTTTCTCTACCATCGCATCCACGACATCTTTATACTGTTCTTCATCGAGATGCTTAAATAGAAAATTATTGGCAATAGAAGATTCTATTCGTTGTCGTTGTTCTTCAGTTTTAGGAATTACAGTTTTTACATAATCTTCTTGACCTGGTGCCATTGATTCTGCACTGACCGATGTGCGCCGTCCTCTATTATAATTTATTGGGATTGTAGGGAGATCACTCGGCGCGTCATCATACATTTCCTCCTCGCTATCATGTAAATAATCTGTTGTCGGTGTGGTCGGTGTGCTTGCACCAGATGACTTTGATGAATAATAACTCCATGAACTCGTGCCGTTATTTATTGGTGCGGTGAAGTTGTAATGATGAAGATTTATTTCGGAATCTCCTGTAATATTAACACCATATATTGTATATATAATGAGATTAAATTGATTGTGAATTCGATATTAATTATGTAAATCTTAATTTTACTGTGGCTAGTGAAGTGCCAATGATTCTAATTATAGCTGAACATTAAACGAGGAACTTTTCGCACATATGTAAATAAACTTTCTCAATTCGACTAATACCCAGCACAAGGTAACCTGAGAAGGACCTGACAAGGAAACGCAAAACATGAAGGTGAGCAGGTAAAAGTATCACGTAAAGCTTACCATTTGGTATAAATCGACTCCTCTGTTCTTCGAGTTTCCTATTAAAATAATTAGCACAAAATTGGTGTACATCTTTCGGTTGAGCCTGAGCGACCTCACGATTGAGATCGTGCAGGATTTGAATATAGGCAGGAGGCACAGCCATTTTAAGGAAAAAGTGTACGCTAAGTTTTGATTTCACCAAAGACAAACCCAAAAGTTTCTTAACTATCTATCGCAGAATAAGAATAGAATGTAATTTTAGTGGCTGAACTATGCCAAACCAACAAAGAAAATGTAGGCATGGCAATTGCACTGCATATTTTCTCCCAATCTGGTAGTCCCCTTTTTTGGGCACAATACTTCATATGTGTCACGTAACAGGCCACGTAGAAGCCACGTTGTGAATACATACTGCGCTAATGCTCGCGTGATCATTTTGCGATGTTCCTGCAATATATCATACCATGTGATACAATCTCTCCCAGTTGTAAAAATACTAACTTTACTACTATAATTACATGTAAAAAACAAGCACGATTAACATAATTGATTCTAAAATTAAAGTTTTATCATACAACGCCCCTAAAATTTACAAATTTACAAATTAGAATAATCAAATCGAATAATAAATAAATAATGAATTAATTAATTTAAAACTTACTGAGGTATTTCAAATTTTTTCCCATGTAATACTCTGGATAGAAAAATAATATTAATTTGGTAAAATATGCTTGACATTCTCAATATGAATTGTATAATGATGATTACTTACTTTGTGTAATATACGTAAAAGAAATCACTATATAGAGCTGTTTGTATAGCACCAGCAACCCACACAATATAATCAACGTAACCTTCGCTAAAGAATCGATAAATCCAATTTAAAAGGTACAAGGCGCGATATGCACCCAATGCAAACAAATAATGTGTTGTAATTGTTTCAGCTTCACCAGTACGTGTGAGCATAAAAAGTTGTGGAAGAATCGCTACCGATTCAAGATAAACTGAAAATGCCCATAGGATCTAATACATGATATCGTTAGTTCATTTGATCAGAATACGAAAAAAAATAAATTAGATATAATAGATAAATTAAATAGAAATCATCAACTTTACCTCTATAAGTGTAAATTTATAATGAAACACTAATCCCAATACCAAACTACCAATCAATACGAATTCTGTTCTGAATGTGTCCAAATTTGGATCGTAAGTTGCTCGAAACTTTAATTTCATCAAATACAGAATATATAAAGATGTGCAGATGAAGAACAATTTCATAATAGTGTTGTAAAAAGACACATAGAAAAGGAACAGGTCTAGATATCGAGTTACGAATACGATTGCATAGAGTAGTTGAGTTTTATATGATATTCCTATATTTATCATTATTGGAAATTGTAATCATTGATCTGTTAATTTATTGATATAATTTATATATCTCGAACTTCAAACTAAAGCAGGTGAGTAGATTTACTTACCGGCACATGACCTTGTCTTCTGTATCTTTAGGAGAATTATGATAATGGAGCCAAGATGCATAAAATCAGCGACAAATCGAAATAAATTCATGGTAGAGAAATTTTCTTCCCTTCTTAACAGTAATGTGATAAATCGATTTTTGAAGGTTTTTGAAGGTTTTATTTCGATGAGTGAGTGGCGTATTTATGGATCTACTGTCCCTGATGATCTTCTTATTGCCTTTTAAATTTTCGCCACGTGTAGCACACTTATTAATTGATTATCATTTAACGTTAGCGTTAATAATTTTTTAGAGAAAAACATGACTATTATGGTTCTTTCGAGCCTAGGGGACTCTTCGCGAAAAAGACTGATTAATTTTATTGTTTCAAGAGAAAGATCAAAGTTCTTTGTTTCAATGTCAAGTGACATTTTATCGGTTATTATTAGCATATAAAGACATTTTTAATGTAACATGATTTCGTAATGTTGTCTGCAAATCATTGATTATTTCACCGCTCATCTCCATTTATGTATGTGACTGGAGGAATTCAATTGTACCACGACGTAGATATTAATATTCGCACTAGATCAACTCTGAGCAAGTTTGGTAAAAAGCGAATAACTTTCCGAAACAAAAAATGTCAGACGAAATGCCGCATAAGCGCCAGCGAGTTTCTAAGGCTTGTGATACCTGTCGTAAAAAAAAAGTCAAGGTAATTGCATGAAGATTTTTCTACCTCTTAACGTACTATTGAAAACCCGTTCTTTTCAGACTAATATATCTTTTCCTATATTCTGTTACCCATAAATAAATATAGTGTGATGGAATCCAACCTTGCTGTGGTAATTGTACAGCATTTGGTTTTGAATGCACTTATAACGATACAACAAAGAAAAGGTATATTATTTTACTTGTAATTTTACATACGCACCAAATATATATGGTTATATTCTAAATTCAATTATTATAGAGGACCACCCAAAGGATATATTGAGGCAATCGAGACTCGATTGCATAGAATGGAATCTCTTTTAGGTGGATTGGTACAAAGCAATGACCCTCGTGCAGAAGCTGTATTAGCACAATTAATACAAGATGATGATATGGGAATTCCTAATCGTCGATCAACTACTGGGCGTCCAGATTATAGTTCTTGGCGTAATAGTAACGTCTCGAATTCATCTTCTACATTATCAAACAATGTTGAAAATAAAGATGGTTCATCATCTTCAGTATTTGGTTCACATGATCCATTAACTACATCTGACGGCAAACCTATCGAAGATTTGAATGATGTTATGGGCGTATTAAGTATTGATGAGAATAATCAAGTTAGATATCATGGGAGAAGTAGTGGATTATATTTGTTAAAAAAGGATAATAAAGAGGGAGTTTTGAGAGTACAAAATCAAGGAGTTTGGCTTTCTGGAAAAGTTGTGGCATCGACGAATGAATTTGAACTGTTAAAACATCCGGAATTGACTGAACTTCCATCACAAGAAATTTTCGATCATTTACTGGAAATCTATTTCACCCATGTGCATCCAATTATGCCAATTATTTACAAACCAAGTTTTTTTAATCGGTTGAGAAATAGGGAACCATGTCCGCATCTATTACTGAATTCAATGCTTGCGTTGGCATCAAGATACTCGGATAATGCAGAGATACAAAAGTATCCGGATAAACCTGAATCTGTTGGGTCTGTTTTCTTTGAACGTGCAAAAGCATTACTTGACTTTGAATATGATCATCCAAGAGTCTCCACGGTTCAAGCCTTGATTTTACTTGCTCTAAGAGAATATGGGTCTGGAAAAGTTTCAAGGGCTTGGATGTATGCAGGAATGTCTACAAGAATGGCACAAGATTTAGGATTACATCGTAATACTGAACAATGGGATCCTATAAATTTCAGTCATGAAGAAAAAGAAACTCGAAAGCGCGTATTTTGGGGTTGTTTTATTCTTGACAGGTAGTTTATTTTTATTTCTTTTTGATAATATTATTACTATATTAAAAATTAATATCATAATCTTCTCTAAAGAATATCAAGTGCAAATATTGGTAGACCGCTTGCGATTGATGAACAAGATGTTGATGTTTTATATCCTTCCGAACAAGAGGAAGATGAAAATGAACTTCTTCCGTTTAAAATGGATTATCCTGTATCAGCAATTTCTTCCCCCATATCCTCGAATAGTAGCATTCAAGGATCACCTATATTACAATCTTTATCAACTACAAATACATCATCATCGTCACCATCACCAACATTGTCAGCATCTGTAACAATAACAGCAACAACTTCCACTACGGCAGCAGCAACAGTAAAAGAACCACAATATAAATCTTATTGTATTTCACGGTTTAATGCATTAGCAAAGTTATGCGAGATCACTGGTCGAATTCTTCACAATATCTACGCTATTAGATCCACCACAAAATCTCACAAGGAATCAATTCTTTCTATTCTGGACTCATCACTTACATCCTGGCTTATTACTTTACCAGCAAATCTTCAATATAATCCAGCAGCGGATGAACCACCAGCACCTGCTACAATTACATTACATATAATGTATTACTCGATTATAATGCTACTTCATCGACCTTATTTACCAAATGCAAAACAATCATCTAACAAATATACATCAGCAGCCAATTCGCTAACAGAAATAGCGGAAATACTGGTGAAACAGGGCACAATGAAATATACCATGAACTCTACAGTATATGCAATATTTATGGCAGGTGTATTACACACTTATAATGCAACACAATCAGAGATAAGTATATCTCAGCCCGCCAAAACGAATCTAATTAAATGTATAAAGGCATTAGAAGAATTGAAAAAAACTTGGGTAAATGCTTACAAATATACTGATCTATTACATGAATTAGCAGAGATCAAAAATGTAAATATAGACTTAACTTCCTCTTCGACAAGTAATGGCGGAACTTCAGAGGGGCGTGGAACTCGTGCACAAAAAAAAAGGCTTGAAACTTCTAGTTCCCCATTACAATCACATTCACAAATTAATGACGATGACGATGATAATAATGATGATATTAGTAATAATGATAATTGGAATAACGAACCAGATTGGGAAGAGCAATATCATCAATCAAATAAATCATCATCATTATCCCTTTTAAAATCACAAATTAAGAATACTAGATAGAAAAATTTTGAAAATATCAGTTAATAGTAAAAAACTAAAAATATATCATCAAAGACTATTACCAAAACTATATATTCTCATAAAAAGTTAATCTATCTGACTGCAAAGTCATTAAACTAAGCTTATAGAATTGGTTAAATCTTACATCATCATTATTAAAACAAGAAGTTTGTGAACAAATAATTTTGAAAGCTTATGAAATTAATTAAACCTTATGTCATCATTACTGGAACAAGAAGTTTGTAAACAAATAATTTTGAATTATATTGAACTAATCAAAATATTATTATTGAATTAATATTTTTTTGTTTATTAATTAGTTTTTTGCTATTTCTATTATAATTAAATTATTTGGAATTTTTCACTTAAAATTATTGTAATTTCTTTTTACAAGAAAATTAAAATAAAAAGTTTTTGTTATTTTTGTTATTTGTTTAATTCTGAAATATATTTATACTAATACAAAAATTAAAATATTATTTACATTTTCTTTTTTTTTTGAATTATATAATTTTAATAAAACTTAATATAAAACTTTAAATAAATTTTTCTTATTATTTTTGTTTTTGTTTAATTTTCTTTTTCAATTTTTATTTATATTAATTAACTAATTTTATAATTAGAAAAAAATATATAACAACTATATAAATAAAATTTTTACAATTATATTATTAGATTCAATAATAATTTTTATAAATATAATTATAATAATATTTTATAATAAATATACTTATAACAAAATATTTTTATTATAAATCTTTTTGAAAAAATATAACTATAACAAAATTTTATATATAATATAAATATAAAAAAATTTAATTATATATTTATATTTTTACTAATATTTATTTATAGTAACTTTCAAAATTATAGAATTATATATATAATTTTATTAATAAAATACAATAAAAATTAAAATTTTTGCTTTATATAAAAAGTTTTTAGTTTTATTAATATATATTTTAATATTAAAACAAAAATTATAAGTTATATTTTTCTGAATTTTTTAGATTTTTTTTGGCAAAGTTATTGCAAAATTTTTTATAATTAAAATATAAAATTAATTATAAAAATCCAGAAAAAATAAATATTAAACTATAACTTATAATTTTTGTTTTGATATAAAATTAAAAAATATTTATTAATAAATTAAAAACTTTTATATAAACTAAAAATTTAAATCTTTATTAATAAAATTATATACATGATTTCATAATTTTAAGAGTCACTATATTATTTTAAAGTTAATTAATTATAATTTTGAAAAAATAAACAAGACTTATTATAAAATAAAAAACTGCTTTAATTATAAAATTAACAAAAAATTTTTAGTTAATATATTAATTAATATTATAATACTGTTGTATTCCAAATCAAAATTATTAATTAATATAAATTTGTATTAAATTACACAAAAAATAATTATAATTCTAATTTTAAATCTAGTTTTAATAAAAATTTGAATTATATAAAATATAACAATATGATTTTTATAAGTTATTATAATTTCAAATTTTTGATTTAAATAATTCCATAATTTTGAAAATCATTATATAATACTAAACAAAATAAATAAAAAATATTTTATTTTAAATAAGTTTTAAATTAATATAAATATTATAATTAGTTTAATTCTAGTAACTTGAATTTCAAAAGAAAAAAAACAAATAAAAATATAAATAAAATAAAAAAAAGGAAAATCAATTAATTTCAAAGAAAGTGAATTTGTCTAATATTTATTTTGGCTTTCTATTTATACAACTAAAAATTTTTGGATTGATACTGCTCAATCAAAGAAATTTTTTCTAGATAAATATTACTATGGATTTTTATTGTCTTCATTTTAGTTTTGTGCCAAAAGACAGGAATATTCAATCAAATGAAATATAAATAAACCTGCTAAAAAAAATATGGAACAAGACAAAAATAAAATACTTGGAAGAAACTGTGGTGTCTAACCATTTTGAATCATTGAATTTTTGTTGTAGCACGCCCAAATAAATCCTAATATTACATGAATAGCACTAATATACGTATAAATATATATATATATATATATAAACAGTCTAATAAATAAATTAATTATTATTACACGATGAAATGAATTATGGTTGTGAGGGCACGGTGTCAAGATTGGGTTGTGAAATTTGAACTCCATGATGACTACTATCACCAGAAGTAGTTGTTGATGCATGACCAGAAAAATGATTACTTTGTTGTGCCTCCATAAAAGAAGTCCATTGTGCGAGATCGGCATGTGGTGGTATTCCCCAATAGTTTGAACTTAATGGTGTATTATGAAAAATACTATTAGAAGATAGACCTCCATTATCAGTACCTACTATATCAGGAGTAGCCGTAGCATAAGTACCAGGAAGTGTCAGTGTTGGAGTTGGAGTTGGAGTTGGAGTTGGATTTGGATTTGAATTTATAGCTGATAAATATCGAAATTGATATGAATTAAAAACATGATGGGTAGAGTCATCAATGCGATGATGTTGATGATGATGAATTGATGGTGGTGGTGCTGATTGAGCATTGAAGTGTTGAATCGACAAATTATTAAAATTAACTGATGTTGATTGTTGATGTTGCGAATTACTATTATTAATATTAATATTACCATTACTACTACTGCTACTATTATTATTGTTGTTGTTGTTGTTGTTGTTGTTGTTGTTGTTGTTGTTGTTGTTATTATTATTATTATTATTATTATTATTATTATTATTATTATTATTATTATT